TCAATAAATGAACAATTAATTACCAACAGATATATCTGTCAGTAAATTAATAATTAGTTACCGATGAATATGTAGTCGTCGAAAAATGAGTGATTACCGACGGATATTTTCGACGGATTTAAATATTTGTGGAATTTGGTCTTACCAACGAATATATCCTTCAGTAAATAAGCAATTAATTACCAACATATATATCCATCGATAAATTAACAGTTAATTAACGACTGATTTAAAATACATTTTTAAAAATCAACATTAAATTAATAAAATTTGTTGAATATAGAGAAAATAGGGATTGAAATTAATCTCCCTTGTATATAAATCACATATAGGGTAATCTATTTATAATAGAGAGGTACAACTAAAAGAGTAACCAAAAGTAAACAAAATAAATATAAGATATTGTTTGATATTGTGGTTAACAATATCTAACAATATCTTAACAATATCAAACTATATCTAAATAATATCTAAACAATATCTAACACTCCCCCTCAAGCTGGAGCATACAAATCGTATGTGTCAAGCTTGTTACAAATATCATCAATTCTAGGTCCCCGTAAAGACTTAGTGAAAATATCTGCTAACTGATCACTTGAGTTAACAAACTCGTCTTGATATCTCCAGATATAATATTTTCTCGAATGAAATGACAGTTAATTTCAATATGTTTGGTCCTTTCATGAAAGACAGGATTAGAACTAATATGAAGAGCAGTCTGATTGTCACACACAAGTGTTATTTGAGTGACATCTCCAAATTGTAACTCTCTAAGCAATTGTTTGAACCAAACAAGTTCACAGGCAGCTGAGACCATAACTCTATATTCTGCTTCTGCACTGGATCTTGCCACAACACTTTATTTCTTACTTTTCCATGAGATCAAGTTACCACCAATGGAGACACAATATCTAGATGTAGATCTTCTATCTGAAGGATATCTTACCCAATCAACATCTGAGTAGCAAACAACTCTTGTATGATTATTAGAACCATATAACAATATAACAATATCCCCTTGAGCAACAAACCCAGGAGGTTGCTCCATATATATTTCTTCTTGCAAATCACCTTTGAGGAAAACATTTTTAACATCCAGTTGATAAAGAGACTATTGTTGAAGAGCGGCCATGACGATAAATAAACAAACAGAAGCCATCTTTGCCACAGGGGAAAAAATATCTTCATAATCTAACCCAAAAATTTGAGTATAACCTTTGGCCACAAGACGAGCTTTGAGGCGATCAATAGTATCATCAGGTCCAACTTTGATAACAAACATCCACCTGCAACCATCAACAAATTTCCCACACGGTAACGGGACCAATTCCCAAGTCTCACTATTATGAAGAACACTTAGTTCATCTAACATGGCCTGACGCCAACCAGGATGGGCTAAAGCTTCACGGACAGTTTTTGGAATGGTCACAGAAGAAATAGAGGAAAGATATGTATAAAAAGGTAATGACAGTCGATGATAACTCAAAGCAATATAATAGGGAGAGGGATTACGTGTAGAACGAATACCTTTTCGGAGGGCAATGGAAAAGTTAGACTCATGTGTCAGATCCGGAGGAGACAGAGTAGTTGACACTTGAGTGGAGTCACATGGTGGTGGTTGTGATTGGTTTCGAGAACTATAAATCTGAAGAGACAGTGGAGAAGAAGTTGACTGCGGAGCAGAAACTAATGGTGAAGAAGACACAGTTAGAGGGTCACAAACAACATGAACATTAAATGTACTAGGAGTGTTGACAAGATTGGATGGAGACAGAGGTGAAGATTGACTTTTAAAATAAAGAGACAACTCATCAAAGGTGACATCTGCAGACACAAAATAACGGTTAAGAGAAGGAGAAAAACATTTGTATCCTTTTTGTGATCTTGTAAACCCTAAGAAAACACATTTATGTGATCTAGGAGAAAGCTTGTCAAGACCATAACTGAAATTATGAACAAAACATGTAGACCCGAAAACTCTCAGAGGTAAAGGATGAAGTGGTTCATGAGGTAATAAAATGGAATGAAGTATTTTATTATCTAAAACCGAAGAAGACATGCAATTAATGAGATAACATGCAGTAAGAAGAGCATCACCCCAAAAATGTTGAGGAACTTCTCCATGAATTAAAAGTGTGCGAGTTGTTTCAATACGATGTCTATTTTTACGTTCAGCTACACCATTCTGTTGAGGTGTATAAGTACAAGAATTTTGATGCAAAATACCGTGAGAAGCCATGAATTGTTTAAAAGAATGAGAAAGATATTCATGACCATTATCACTACGCAAAACTCTAATAGAAACACCGAACTGAGTTTGAATTTCATTAAAAAAAGTTTGAAAGATATGAAATAATTCATAACGATTTTTCATCAAAAATAACCAAATGCATCTGGAATAATCATCAATGAAAGTAACAAAATATTGAAAACCTAAAGTAGACTTAACACGGTTAGGTCCCCAAATGTCAGAGTGAACCACGACAAAAGGGGATGAAGCACCACGTGTGAAACTATGAGGAAAGGAAGTACGACTATGCTTTCCTAATTGACATGACTTACACGCCAAACTAGATAAGTTGGACAAGGCAGGGACAAACTTCTATAACTTGGCAAGACTTGGATGACCTAACTGAGCATGAAGAAAAGAGGGAGACTTCATAACTATACTAACATGTGTAGAAGGACGGAGATAATAAAGACCATGAGACTCACATCCTATGCCAATCACCTGTTTCGAACTCCGGTCCTGTAAACACATAGAATTGTTGGTAAAAATAACAACACAATCAAGAAAACGAGTTAGACGACTGATGGACAACAGGTTAAAAGGAGACCGAGAGACATAAAGAACATTATTAATGGTTAAAGAAGGAAAAAGTTTAACCGTTCCAACACCATGAGATGATACTCTAGAGCCATCAGCCAGTGTAACAGAAGGTAAATGATTAGGAGAGGATAAAAAGGAGAACAAAGATTTGTTACCAGTAATGTGATCAGTGGCTCCTGAATCAAAAACCCAAGGACCAGGAGAAAAGGATTGGGTCAGACCAGCAAAATATGTATTTGTATGTGTGACAAACACTTAGGACGCTCTTTTCCCTGTTTGTGAGAGCGAGTCTGCTCATCACGATGGGATGTCAACATAAAAGAATCATTAACAAAATTGGAAATAGTAGAAGAAGTGGAAGAAGTCATGAAGAGCGCGAGAACAAACCCTAAAACAATCCAAAGTAATCCAAACTTAACCCACGAAGCACAAATCCAAAATGAGAATACTAAAAATAAGTTCGCCAAGACTAAACGGCGCAGGAGACAACGGGACGACCAACTCCAATAGTGGTGATCTCAACGGCACGGTGGTCACCTGACTGAGACAAGTAAAATCATATGTCACTGGTCAAAAAATGAAACTCCGGCAACGGCGGATCCGATGAATGCTCTAGCGGCAGCGGTGACAGTAACGTGAACCAGTACACCAGGTAAGTTCCTAGGAAAGAGAGGTGGGTCACTAATGGACACACTTAAATACCAAGTCTTTTCTTTCCAGAACTTTCTTAGACATGCACTTTCACACTACCAAATAAAATTCAGTAACAAATATAATTTTTTTCTGATGGGGAGGATCAGTTTACCAGCAGCGGTAGGGCGCGGCTCTAGCAGTGGTGGGGTGGCTCTAGCAGTGGACAAAAGGAGAAAAAAAATTCAAGATAACCTTAAGCTCTAGATACCATGTTAAATATAGAGAAAATAAGATTTGAAATTAATCTCCTTTGTGTATAAATCACATATAGGGTAATCTATTTATAATAGAGAGAGTACAACTAAAAGAGTAACATAAAGTAAACGGAATAAACAAAAGATATTGTTTGATATTATAGATCTTTACAATATCTAACAAAATTAAATATTTAAAATTATATAATAATTACTTAATTTTAAATATATTCTAATTAATATATATATATATATATATATATATATATATATATATATATATATATATAAATGCATGAATTATTCATCCAAAGCAGATGAAAATTTATCGGCTTAAATATAATTTTATATTTTAAAAATAAAAGAGGTGCTCGCTTTTTTTTGTTTATTTTTTTATCTTTCTCGTTTTGAAATAAATATATTTAATATTTGTATAAGTGAATATACTATTTTTTATAAATATTTTTTATACTACTAAATTTTTAAATATATTTCTAACATTTATATAAAATATTAATAAATTATATTTATATTATAATTTTTAAAATATTCTACAAAGTGTCATGTTCACTTATTTAATAAATAAGTGGTAAATAGATATCACTTAATATTAAAATATAAAAAATATGTTAAATTTTAGATAGATAAAATATATATATAAAAAAAATCTTAGAGTGAACCAAATAAAGATTTGTGGGCTAAATATATATATATACTTTTTTTTATAAGTTTTCGTTAATAAAATTGATCATTTAATATTTTGTTAATTTTATAATTATCATTCAAAAATCATATTTAATATAATATAATATTTTATTGATAAACTAGAAAATATAGACAGAATATCATATTTTATTTATATAAAAAATGTAAAAAATTTAGCCCGTGGGATTAGAAAGGAGGGACACGTGGGAGGAAGACGGTGCATCCATCTATCATCTGATCGTTGTCAAACTCAAACTCTCAAACCCTATCTCGCTTTACCTTGGCCCTTCTCATTCACTCTGCCCCAATTCCAAAATTCCCAACCCTAACCCTAAAACGAATTTTCTGATGAAACTCGACACGCCATATTACACGGTTTCAGAATCAGGTTCGATTCCCTAACCCCTCAACAAACCCCTTTCTTCTCTTCGTAGTTTCTCCATGGAGGGCTCTGCAGATGATCTCGGAGCCCCTGAGTCATGGGAGGTCGCCGATATGGACGAGTCCATGAACCGTTTGAACCTCATGCTCTCTTCCAGTAAGGATTCCAACCACTCTCACCAACCAACGTCTCTCCGATGATGACGCTCCACCGCCGCCTCCTCCTTCGTTCCCTTCGTCCAGTGGTGTTAAGGTTTCCGATGACGTCGTCAATCAGGTCAATCAATTCCTTCGCGAAGCCATTCAGAACCCTCGCGAACGACTCTCAAGTAGGTTTACCTTCATAAGCATCAATTAGTTGGGGGAATGCGTTTATAAGCTCTTGTTTGTTTCAACGTTCAAATTGCTAATTTGTAAATCGTTCTTGAATTATAATAGACTCAAAACTCCTAGATTTTTCTTTTGCTGGGTGTTATATCTGTGTGTAGACTCGATTAGTGCCCGAAATTCGTATATCAAGGAGTTGATTTAGGTTCTGATTTATGTTAGATTTTGTGGGTTGTGATCAAGTACGCCAGTTTAATTTTACGCTTGTGCGCTCTTATTAGAGAAACAATTCGGCATTGTCTCTGCACGTTCAAGTGTAGGTATCATATGAAAGGATTTGGTTTCTGAAGTGAAAGATTCTTATCTGAATTGTGCTTCTCGCTCTCCCTTACCCTTCTCATCAGCAGATATAATTCCTTATTCCTCACTTGTAAAGTGAATGCCTCATTTAAGAGAAGCCAATCCCATAACTAAACAAACCTGCTTAGTGTCCTTGATTTTGAGTTTGAACTATATTTGTGTATTGATGGCGAGAGCATGTGTTTTGTATGTCTGGATTTGTGCATAGGCCTTTTCCTGTTCCTTCCACATTTATAGTTTTTAGGGAGTGTGTAGATGTATTTTCTGGGGAGACTAATGATAACTTATTTTATAAGTTACAATTTTACACTTAAATGTTCTATTGTTCTTATGGTTGCTACTTTTCTAATTGTTTTATTATTATGCACTTATGCATGTATTGTTTCTTTGTTAATTATTTCGATGTAGTAAGTTTTTTTTTTCTTTTTTGCCATTCATAATTCCAGGACACTATGTTTTTGTCTATTATGGCATAATAATTATCATTTTCTGCTGATTGGCTGAAGTCCCTAGGAACTTATCAGTGTCTTGTTATGTTTGAAATTTAAAAGTATCACATTCTCATTTGCATTTTTGTTTTTGCCATATTCCTATCGGGTCTTGCTCCAGTTAGCATGTATATAATATAAAAACCAATTATATTTGATGTATGGATTAACCTAATAATCTACTAATAACTTGTATAGCAGGAATATGCAAAGATTTGATCCTGGTTTTGGGTTCAGTGGAGGATCATGTGGCATACAGCCAATGTATACAGCAGTATGAATTACAACACCGAGTTTCCACAGCTTGGATCCACTCATAGACCCAAGCTTTCAGCTGAACACCAACCAAGACCTCTTCCACAGCATATACCTGGGCCATGGGCTGCACAATCAACACCTGCTGGAATTGGATATGGACATCCTGAGACCATGATGCCACCATTTAATCCTAATCAAGTTGGTGCACACTCCACATCATCCATGTATCTGCATTCATCTCAGTATCCCTGTCAGCGCCCTGGAATACCATTTATCCATCCTGAACATATTCACCAACCCTTTGCACAGGTATAAACAACCACCAGCATCTCCAATCTGTGATTGGTCAAGTCATATAGTGTTTTAACAAGGTCCATAGCTTACATGTTAGTTGCTTAATGTCTTACTTACAGTATGAAAACCGATACCAATTTGTTTACCATATTAAGGATAAGTGGCTATTAAGAAATTGTACTTTTATATTATTTTTTTTGTAATAATTAAAATATTTTAAAATATAATGTTAAAAATAATAACATAAATTACATAAATATTGTAGTGGTAGAAATACTTAGTCTAACATAAAATTATTTATAGATAAATAAAATAATGTTATTATTTATCGTTATTATATTAATCTTTAAATATAAATTTGAAATAAGTAAATTATTACGATAAAAATTAGCCACAATATAAAATTGAACTAATTTTTATAATTTTATTGAGATATGTAAAGCTTGCATGAATGGAAAGGAAGCACTTCTAAAGCATTATGTAAAGCTTTAGTTACACAGACTTCCGCAATGTTTAAAGCTATTAAAGGAATTTGATAGCAGTTATGTAGAGATGTAGATCAACATTCTAATAGAATAAATGGGTATCTATAAAAGCGTAATATACATGTGTGCATGATTATAAACTATTAATATTCTATAAAATTGTGCTAGAAACATTTGTCAGAGAAATAAAAATACAGTATATAACATCAATGGTTATATAGTAGTAGTAGTAGTAGTAATACAAAGTACAGATTGAACCTTTCAAAATAAATCTATTAATATATATATATATATTAAATTTTTTTATTTATATAATTATATAATTAATATATTTTTATAAATATAATAAATATAAATATATTTAATATATATATATATATAATATTTAAATATTTATTTATATAATTATATCAAATTAATATAAATATTTTTTTTACTTATCATAAAAATATATTTATATAATTATATGTTTAATATATTTTTATAAATATAATAAATATAAATATATTTAATATATATATAGATATAATATTTAAATTTTATTTAATATAAATTAGTTGAAGAAAAAAATTGATAAAAATAATAATTTATAGAAATAATAAATCAAAAATAAATTTATATAAGATATTGTATGAATAAAATTTATTTAATAATAATTTTGATGTAAAAAATTAAAAAAATACAAATAAATTACAATATTATATATTTAATATTTAAATAAATTTAATAAATATGGATTTATATAATATATATATATAATAAGATATTTAATAAATATAAATATTTGTATATTTAAATTTACTTACCATTCACATGACCACCTTTTGTCACTCACATGCCTACCTAAACTCTCTTACCATTCACATAATTATCTAACTCACATGTCTATTTAAACTTACTTACCCCGCATGATCACCTAACTCTTATATCACTCACATGTCTACCTAAACTCTCCTACCACTTAAATGACTATCTAACTCTCATGTCACTCACATGCTTACCTAAACTCTCCTACCACTCACATGACTATCTAACTCTCATGCCACTCATTATTATATAAAGTCTACTTTATCATCACTTCTCACACCAATTACTCATACCTTACCATCATTTCCCACACTAATTCCTCATAAGTTCAGACTTCCCCTATCTCCTCTCTAGTCTTCTACACTTTCATCATTTTTATTATTTTTTCTTTCATATGGATTCTTTCATTCGAGCAATTATTTTTTATGATGGTGACATTGTGACATGCCCTCAAACGGGGTGTTATTTCGTAGTAACAATTATCATGATGCATATTCATAAAGGAATGACATTTGAGCATTTCAAACAAATGGTTCTACAAAAATGTGGTCGATCTCCCCATGAACAACTTTCAACCATCACGTACAGATACCCCATCCGAGTTTATGGCTCAGATGCGTATTACACTGCAACTACGCTTCAAGACGACGAAGATTTGCAAGGGCTAATCGACATACAAAACGCAAATCCAATATTGGCCGGAACTGAGATATGTACAACCTACTAAAGAGGTAATCTTTCTGTTCCTAACCAATACCAAGATCAACAACCATATCCACATTTCTATATAATTAGTTTTTTCTTAAAATATATATTTTTAATTTAATTTATCTATTTTTTATATATATTTCTTTTTTCATTAATTAAGTATTATAGTTATCTTTCATATATTTTATTATTTGAAATAATAAAATATATAAAAAAATAATTATACAAAGACATTTTAACGTCTGTATTTTCTGGTTCCAATAAAATATAATTATTATAATAAATTTAAAATAATTTAAGATTTTGCTCCACTGAAAAAGAAGATGATATCATGGTCAATATCTACTGGAATATTATCTTCTTAACAGTTTTACTCTGCCATAATTTTATCTTTAAAAAATAAAATATATATTTAAACTTTTATTCACTCTACTGACACAAGGTTTTAGTCAAATAAAAATAATAATAATAATAATAATAAAAAAAATAATATATAGCATTTATGTTATTTAAAACAAAATTACCAGTTAAAAATTAATTTTAAATATTATTTATTTCAAGAATTAATACTTATAAAAATATTAAATTAAAAATTGAAAATTTAAAGTATTATTTGCGTGAAAAATTGTAGCCATACAAAAAAGTTGAAAATTGGGACGTACTGAAGTATAGCTTAAAAATACAGGTATTTTAAATAATAAATTTATTATATAATCTTCCACATTATATAATTAATTCATAAAAGTTGTTGAAGAAAATGCTAAGAAAAGAATGGCACATAGTGAATATCATACCCTGTATTTCGTAAATCATGAGGCAAAACCAGTTTTAATAAGTTGGTGTAAAAATATATATATTATAATTTTTAGAATAGAATTGATTTATTTGTGTACAAATATATATTATGTGTGGATTTATATAAGATCACATATGAACAGATCCTTTGACTTATTTTGAAATTGGTTAGACGAATTAGTAATTTTAATTTGTTCCGCTTAACCCATTTAGTGTAGAGATTAAGAAAGAGATAAATTAGAATATATCACTAAGTCATTTTTAAGAAATATTTATATATTAAAATAAAAATAAAATAATTAAATATATTATATTTTTATGTTATATTATCAAAATATATTATAATATTATAATTTAAATAATAAATAATAATAAATTAAATTTAAATTATTAACTTAAAAATTTATTATATAATTAAAAATATATTTTTAAAAAAATTAATATAAAAAATTATATACGTACAAATTTATATTTTGAGATATTACGTTCGTCCATCAATTTTTGACGGGACGAACTGAGATATATAACTCACCTAATTACGATAAATTGGTTCTATTTTCTATAAAATATAAATGGAGATAAAATAACCAATTTTATTATTCTCTGTTTAAAAAAAGTTGAAAATTGGGACGTACTGAAGTATAGCTTAAAAATACAGGTATTTTAAATAATAAATTCATTATATAATCTTCTACATTATTTAATTAATTGGTAAAAGTTGTTGAAGAAAATGCTAAGAAAAGAATGGTGTATTTCGTAAATCATGAGGCAAAACCAGTTTTAATACAAGTTGGTGTAAAATATATATATATATATATATATATATATATATATATATATATATATATATATATATATATATATATATATATATATATATATATATATATATATATATTATAGACCCCAAATCTTGCCCCGCCCCAAAATAAGAACAGAAGACCTCGTATTCGAAGATGGACGAAGCCTAAGAAGCCACTAGGAGAGACTATTAGGCCCCATATTAGGATATGAAGGATTTTCTGTATAAAAATAAGGATTTTCACCTTCAAGAGTCGAGACTGTCGTCTCGCTTTTCGGGACCGTCGTCTCGCCATTGATGCAAGTTGAGACGGCCGTCTCACCACTTGCCAATGGTGAGACCCCCCTCTCGTTTGGCGAGAAGGCCTTCTCATCACTTGAAAAGTCGATACCGCTGTCTTGCCAAACGAGATAGCCGTCTCGCCACTTTTGCAAGTCGAGACCGCCGTCTCGAATGGCGAGACGGTTGTCTTAACCTTGTCAGTCGAGACGGTCGTCTCGACCTGATAGACGTGAATCCCTATAAATAGTGAGCGCTCCCCCCTCATTTCACATAGTTCTTCCACTTTCCCTTCTACACTTTCTTCAAATTCTCTTCCTAGAGTCCCTCTGAAGCATTTCCGGAGTTTCTGAGAGTCTTAGAGAGCCTTTTATAGCGTTTCGAGAGAGTTTTCATTGTTGTAAGAGCGAAAGGCTGCCAAAACGCACCCTACTTTCAAGAAAATTAATCAAAAGCTTGCCTCAGAGGTTTCTTCATTCTCTCCCTCTCTTTTACTATCTTTATTTTCATGATTAAATTACGTAATAGACATTAGGGCCATGTAATCATTATTTTAATTCCGCAAATAAAAAGGGTAAAAGCGTTTTTTCAATAGTTCATTTATAAAATAGCTGGCCTATCATAGGGAACCCGAAAGGGGCGTCGTAAGGGAACTAACACTTCCCTTACACGTAACTAACTCCCTTACCCAACTCTGGTTTTAATGACCAAAGTTGGTTTTTCGAAAAACCAATGCCTTTTTCCTCATTTTTCGATATTTCCGGTAAAAACATCGGTGGGGACTCCATAAGAACCCCTTCAAATTAGTTCTTAGGTCAGCCCGGTTATCGGACGACCTAAGAACACCCTTTCGAAAACCTCGCCCTTAGGTTCAGCCCGGTTATCGGACAACCTAAAGACGTTGTAACATCACCCATAAAAATGCGAAAAATGGAAAGTCAAAACCATCGCGTCGCTCCGACCGCCTCTTTTTTACGGCGGCGACAAATGACAACTTCACTGGGAAAACCTAGAGAGTTGATCCCATTTAGTGATGGACCAGTTTAATAAATAAACTAAGAAATTACACTTTTACCCTACCTTGTATTATAACATGTTGTAAATGCTTGACTTTAATAACTGTTGTTTGTTTATTTTACGCAATT